AACTTGTTCTTCTGGTTGGCATTAAAACTATGATCAATTTGCTGCTTGGCCTGCTCTTTGTTAGTCCATAAAGAGTAAGCTCCGACTCCCAAACCTGTCCTACTAAATATTAAATTTTCTTCTTGGGTAGGATTTGGAGAGAAAAAGATGTTAAACCTGAAGCACTATAATGCAGTATCCTAGGACGGCTGTCTCCGTGCCAGACAGAAGCAGTTTGACATTGACATGATGTGAGATTCCTGTGCTTTATATAAAAGGTTTGCATTAGTTCTCTGGCCTGTGATGAATTGCCAGGAGTTACGTTGAGCTGATGAGCTACAAAGACATCAAGCTGCTTTTGGAGTTGTTAGCTTCTAGGACAACTGCAGCCTGTCACGTACACGTGGTCCTTGGTGGTGGTTCCTAGACGTTCCCCTTGGTATTTGGCTATGTTGGGTTGGCTTTGCTCACTTGTGCTTATCTTAGCAAGCTAGACTTGTCTCTGAAGCCTTACTGATAGATCCTAAGGGAGCCAGTGACTTTATCCTCTCGGTCATTAATAAAAGGCAGCATAAGGCCAGGAACTTGTTGGAGCTTGGGAGAAGCTCAGCCACTCGTTGATGATCAAATGCTTGTGTTTTGAAGCATATTATTACCTGTTTTTTAATCCACTGAATGTGTCATGTTGGTTTGCTTTTTATGGCTATAGTTTATTAATCACAATGTCATTTTATAGTAGCAAGTGAAATACCATATGGGAATTTATGTTCATTACACCAGTGCAATTGCCATTATCAATAACACGAGTAATCTCATCAAGAAGTGGCATCAGTTTAGCTTGACAAGACTCATTTTCTGCAAGCTCTTGTTGACTGTCACCAAATTCTTTACCCTCTTTTAATTAAAAAGCCTAGATCTTGTTTGCTTAGTCTGATACCAGTCTCGGGCCATGTAACAGGTCTATGATTATACTGATTGCTCTGTTCTCAAATATTAATAACACTGAGTTAGGCTTATAGAATAGCAACAAATATTCAATAATGAATGATTTTTCTATACAGTCTCGGACAACTTTTAATAAAACTGAACCTCAGACTCTCAGAGAAACTTTCCCAGAGCTACAGGACAGAAAATCGACATCTCTAGTGTTGCTGTGGAACACAGGCCTTGGCTACCATGCGAGTGGAGTCTCTGTGTTGCCTTTTGAGAGAAACAGCTTCCAGATGAGCAATTAATGTGTTTGAGAGCAACTTTCAATATCATAGGTAGCTATAACATTAACCTTGATTTAAAAAAAAAAAAAAAGGTATATTCTTTGTCCCTTACCCATTTTGCACACTATTTTGCTATTAATTTCTTGGCAATACCTGCAGTTTTCCCTCCCCTTTCCATGCATGCCAGGTGTAACTGAGCTAGCCTGTACCCAGGCTAGAGGCAGAGCTGCAGCTCGGTGCTGCCTTCAAGCTCGCCCAAGGTGAGCCCTAAGCAGCATTTCCTGGCTTAAGAAATTAACAGTAATGGAGATGGATAGTTGACGAGGGCGTTAGGATGGCGTCAGCAGGATGTCTCCAGCATGTGTCACTAGGCTCAATGGCCTCCACAACGCAGTTGTTTTCTGCAAGCTGGCCGGGAGGTATCTCTATGGAGCAGTGCTCTGTTATCCCATCTAATCCTAGGTAGCTGGGAGGACAGACCTAAAGCCTTGTAGGTTCAGAGGCTTCCGAGCTGTCCCCTTCAAGAAGGTTGCAGCAGAGGTGCTCGTGTCTATGAGGGAGCACAAGAAGTCCTCGCGCTGGCACTGCTGCCAAGGCAGGCTAGCTTGTGTCGAGGCCTGTCTGTCCAGACAGCTGTCCTGCTATTTTTAGAAATTCTCTAGTGATGGAGATGGCAGTAATGGAATAAACCCTCCCAGGCAGTTGATTGCAACGCTTTCCTGTGCTTAACATTAAAATGTTTGCGTGCGTGTGCATATACGTGCTGCTGCTTCACTTATAGCCATAAGCACCTCTGCTTCTTGTCTTGCCCCTGCTTGACCGAGACACGTAGTCTGGCAGCATTTTTAACGTAAGTTCTCTCTTTTTCTTTCCTTTTTCTCCATTTTGCCCCTCTTCAACCACTCCTGAATTGAATGCTTTCACTAGGATGTCTGCCTTTGCCACAGCAGCATATGCTGTTTGCTTATGATTTGCTTGCCATGCATAGTAACACAGAGGTGGTGCTGGCAGCATTGCGGCATCTTCTGTTGTAGGCTCCTACGTTGGGCTCCAGAGCTCTGGACATGCTCTATCCATTTGGAAAATGGTTTTTCTTGGTAAACAAGACTAAAATAGTGTGTGAAGCAGGTCAGGATTGATGTCAAGTCTTACTGGATTGAAACTTTCTGTTAGTGAGCTCTTGGTGATGTCTCTTTGAACACAATTTTCAGCCATGTTGGAATTTTCTGCAGTGGGAAGCTCTAGGTTTTGCCACATAGAAATGACTAGTGTTTATCTTGATGCAGTGAATGAGTTCCTCGTTCTGAATGGGAGGTTCTTTACTCTGCAAACACCAAGTGAGTCGTTCTGCTGAGGCTGAAAAGAGGTTGGAAAGCAAATACTGAAATCCCAGGAAGTTGTGGGCTCGAAGAGTAACAGTGATGCATGAGGATGTGGGAGCAGGAAAAGAGTCCACGAGCCAAAGAAAACACGTGGGTTCCTGTGTTTAGGCAAGTGTCCCATCTGCCAGGGAGAAGAGGAGCTCGGCTAAGGACACCTTGGAGTGTGACAAGGAGAGTGTCATGAAAGGCAGGTCACACTTGACCCTTGGCAACGCTGGAGTCCTTTTTTCTAAAGCTCATGGTCAAATCTTAGCAAATACATTCTGCAAGCTGCTGAGCTTGCTGCAATCTTAATTAAGTTGTCTAATAGGATGTAAGATAAGGCGTAGATGACTCGCATGCAATGAAACTGTGCTTAAAAAAAAAACCTTCCAGATGTTCTGTCATGATGTTCCTTGACCTGCTTTAGGTTGTGGCTGAGATTCAGAGTTATTTCTTTAACTAATTGCTCATACTCATCTCCGGAATCTGTCTTAATTTGTGTGCTGCTGTTAGTGTTTGTCACAAATCGGTTCTGTTAATTTAAGTCGGTGTCAAATACTGTGAAAGATGAGGGAGGCAGCCAAGTACTAAGCTCTGTGAGGGATGACTGCCTGAAAAAATGGGCTGTGGATCCTCACCATTTTTGGTCAGTGTCTAATTGACCCAATTAAAAGAATTGCTGATGTGATGGAGCTGGGGATGAGACAGAAGAGAACTCCTGCCGCAAGTCCTCCCCATCCCTGGAGGCTGCTTGTTTTTATGGATGCTAAGTTCTACCAGACCCTTCCTTTTCAGTAGGAAAACCTGGAATTTGAAGGGACAAGCAGCACTTGGATCTCTCCAGAATGTTTGCAATGGACACCCATCTTGGCAGTAGAGCAAGACAGGTATTTTGGAGCAGAGAGCTTTTTCCAGCAGCCTTTTGCAACCTGCATTGCCAGGCTCCTTCACATGGCTACAGGCAAGTATCACAGCAGCAAAGCTCCCTGCTACAGGTAGGCTGACCTGTTTGGGCCGGCGCAGCTTGGCTGTGTAGATAAGCAATCGATTTTGAACTGTGTCTCGGTGACCTTCTCCTAAGAGATGCTCTTAGAGATCCTCAGGGCTGATTTCCTGCCTGCAGAGGGACTTCCCTCGTCAGCGCTAGTGTTGTCATCTCGGCTGGCAGCAGCTTGCTGCGGTTTTGGCTGCCGTTGTAGGGCAGTAACAATGTTGGGAGCACATGCCAGTGCTGATTAAAGGGAAGGGCCTTTCCCCATAAGGAGTGGCTGGCGTGTTGGACTCCATTTTTTGTATGAAAAAGCAAAGCTTTTTCATAAATCAATAGTATTTCATCATGATTCATTCTGCTCTTAAGTCTCCGCTGCAGGAGTTTGTTCTGGATAGTCTTGTTTTTCCTTCCTGTCAGTCTGTGGAAGGATTTGAGTTCATTAGCCCTTCCAAACCCATCCTGGGCTGCAATTGTTAGTGAATTATTGGGTGCTGGGGAGGAATGACTTGTATTCTTATTTGGTAGCATTTAAAAATAACCGAAGGAGTCCTGCCCTCATATTCTTCTTGGAATATGACGTGCCAGGATTGCTGCGGAGCTTGTGTTGCAGGGAAGACGGACCCGGATTCTTCTTTATTAGCTTTATACACAGGGGCCGTGTTTATCAGCTGACTGATGGAATGAAATATGAAATCCTTTTGCTTAAAGCTTGCTTTAATGTTTTTTATTTGTCTTTTCCTCCTCCCTAATGCAGTCTTATAGGAGGAAAGTTGCAGTTACAAATAGTTGTTCTCTCAGCTACTGAGAATACCAAAATATGAAACTTAATCAGAAGACTCGTGGCAAATGTGCCCTCCCCAAATGTGTTTGCTGCAATTAGCCCCAAAAATTCACCAGCAATGCAAAATAGCCTAAACTTCAGACAGGCTGATTTGCTAGATCTTTTTTCCTCTTTTAAAGCACTCAGTTTCCTCAAGCCATTACTGCTGACATGCTTAGGATGTTGTATCTGTGAACAGGGAGGAGAAGGGGCACTTTGCCCTCCCCAGAGTGATATTTGGAGCTTGTGGATGAACAAATCCTACAGGCTTTTGGGTGAGGAATCAAACTCAGCCCCTCACCTGTTGGAGCCAAAAAGTAAATCAGTTGTGCTGGGGGGCTGCTCTTCTATCTGAATCCTACCTGCTGTGACAGCAAAGTGCATTTCCTGCAGTATCATATTTTTACTGGGGGATGTTAGGATTTAAAGCTTAAGCAGGAAAGCACACAATATTCCTTGGAGACCTCTGATTTTTTTTTTATTTTTTGTTTTGCAGGCCTTCATGCTGAGCTGTAGCGATCACCTCATTTGTGGACAGCCTCATGGGGCGCTCTATATAGATGAGCTTTAGCACCCTTATAGCCAGAGCTGTGAAATCTCCTAAACTGGCACTTTCCTCTTGCTGGTTGCAGGGCCTATGCGGAAGACTCCTCTGTAAAGCACAGCCCAAGGGCAGAAGCGGGCGAGAAGGTGAAGCATGAGGAAGAGGAGAGCAGCAGGAAGGCTGTAGCCGCAGGCGGCGAGGAGGCGCAGCCAGAAGGCAAGAAGAAGAAGCGCTCGGGCTTCAGGGACCGCAAGGTAGGAATCCCTGCCCCGTTATATGGCCACAAGGGCACTGCAGCAAAAAGGAGAATATCTGCACAGAACTTCATGGGAGTGCATATTCCATGCTTGCCTTCTCTAAAGAAACCTTGCAGTTCTGGGAATCTACTGTCCTAGCTTCCTCCTGTGGAAGGAAGGGTGGTAGGAAAAGTATTTTTAATTCCATTTCCCTTAATTCCATGTAAATTAGTTGTTGGAATGCAACTTTTCTCCCTCATCCTGGTAGACCGTGTTTCTCTCTAAGCCTCTGCCTACTTAATTTTCGTATCAGACAGGTCTTTGGAGGAGGAAAGCTTGAGCAATCATTTGTATTGTCAGGTTGTGACTCACCTTCAGCGCTGCAGGATCCCAGGAGCTTTGAGCTCTTCAGAGTTATCTGACTAGTTTGGTACTTGAGGTAACCACTGTTGTTACAAGATGTACGATTCCCTCTGAAGAGACCTGTATTTGAGAGTTGACAGATGGCGCTTTAAAAAAAAAAAAAAAAAAACTCATCTGGATGTTGGTTTTATTGGCCTGTTTTAGTATCTTTGCAGTGCTGAAGAGGAGAGGGGAAGTCTGTATTCCTCACAAATCCTCTTCTGTTTGATTTGCTTTTGATAATTACTTTAAGTCCGTATCCTGAGGCTGCATCTCATTAGGTGTTAAATTGTGGATGGTCATATAGACTGGTTTAATAGCTTTGCATAAAACCCAAGGAGGGAGTTTGTTTGAAGCTGCTGAATCATATTCTGGTCTGGGTTAGATTAGATGAGTTTGCCAGAATTTCCAGTGTCTTGTGCTATTTGGCACCATGAACTTTCCCTGCTGTGACACTCTGGTGCCAGTTGGGTGAATTGAAAGCTCCTGGGTTGAGATGCTCAGTGTTGTTCAGGGCCTCTGCATTTTTCTTTTCTGTTAATTTTCTCAGCAAGTGGGTGTTGAGTACAGTGACAGCATCAGCAAAATCGCAACCTTTGCCAGTACCACTCAGGAAAGGCCGACTGTTCTTTCGGTGTCGGCAGGTGGAGGCTGGTTGCCCCAAGCAAAGACACGATGCACCTTCATGCACGTATCTAGGCTTTTTAAATAAATGCACATTTGTTGATAGAACTAGTAGGCAGACTCATTTTTGTCCAACTTAGCTGCTTGCTCCTGGCTAGAAAAGTCAGGAAACACTTATTTGCGAGTGAGGACTTCTATCTTGGGCATTAGGAGCCTCTTTCCTTGCTGTACTTGCCTTGAACCCGATGCTGTTTTCGCTTCACTTAATGCAGGCCGTAACCAGGAGCGTCTGCGGTGCTGGCCTTGGTGTTGTGCTTGGGCAGCTCCCTTGTGGGCTTGGTGCTTCCTCCTCCTGTGAGTCACAGGAGGTGGTGCCAGGGGGTGATGCCTGCGGAAGGCGCGGGCTCCTCACCCAGGTGTTTGCCTCATCAGCCACGTGTAGCAGCCAGGGAATTCCCAGCACTTCTCCATATCAGACTCCAAACCACCCTCTCCAACTCCCTGTAATTCGATGCAAAGCCTGTGGCCTCTTCCTCAAGGAAGGCGGCTTTCAGTTGAGCTTAATTCTACTGCTTGTTTGTTATCTCAGTGTTGGTTTTAATGGATCTCCTGATGAGTGGTGGATAATAAATACGGCCTCTCGCTGTTATTTTGGGGAGTGACTCAGTGGAGAAGCTGGAGAGAAATTGTTTAGGGCTGGTGCTGCTGGCACCATGTATGGCTGGTGCGAGGGCATGTGCTCTGTCATGTATGTGATATATAGGTCCTGCCTGCTTAGGGGAAACGTTGCTTTTTTTTTTTTTTTTTAGCTTGATGTTAATAACTGGCAGCATGTGCTGCGCTCAGGCTGCTGTGTCAATTAATTTGCTAAGAGGAGCCTGGACTGCCTTAACGAGACCTATTTGCGAGGGTCGTTAAGTCCTGGCAGGTACACTGCGTTACGAGCACTAATTGTGCCCGGACTTCATTTCCGTGCACGTTATGGTAGGAAGCTTAATGGAAAGGAATGCTAATTCCTCTGCCCTGTTGGCGTGTCCGGAGCGCGCCGTGAAGCCAGCGTGCTGGAGGGCCCGTTCTGCTGCTGCAAGTGGATTGAGATGTTAGTTTAGGGTCTAATTTCATGCATAGGATTGTTCTTTTAACCTGAGGCTTAGCACGGTCATCACTATCTCCACTGTAGCTTCAGGCATGTAGAGCAATAGGGATTACTTGGTGGTCTGTCTTCTCCAGTGCATGCTCGCATTAATACATGTCCAAAGTGGCTTTTTCCCCCTCTTGGTAGAATAATATCTTTCTAGGAGACCCAGATTATACTGAGCCAGGTGAGGATTTGCCTGGTTTCCACTGGGAAAAGGACTGGTGCTTATTGGGGGAGAGCAGCTGTGTGGACACCCATTTTCCCACTAGAGTGAAGCAAGTTGCCTCCTCATGTCTGCTTTGGAAAGGACCTTGTATCCATAGGGTGAGATCAGGGCATGCAGATCCACTGCCCAGTTCCTGTCCAGCAGCTGGGTTTGAGCAAAGGGCAGCCCCTCTTTGTGGTGCCCGAGACTCGAGGCAGCTGTGTTGCTGCTTCACCCTGTGCACTTTGGACTCCCGAAGGCAGATTGGGCAACACCCAGCCCTTCTACCTGCACGAGTTCAGGGGCTTTATTTGTTTCACGGGCTTGCTAGGCTGGTTTAGCTCCGTTTGTGCCAACCGTGCCAAGCGTTACTTCAAATTAAGCTGGTGGTTAGAAACGCTTCGTTTCCTGCGCTGTGGCCTGAAGCAAGAGGAAATTTAGTTCTCCACCTGCCACGCTCCAAAACCTTCCCTTTGCAAAGGCTTTTTCCTACTCTCAGTAGAGGAAGGGAAACCCAAAGCTACTCCTGAATTTCCTACAAAACCACAGACTGGGGTTAAGGTGGAGAAGCTGCCCAAGTTGGAGGACAAGACTGAGATGGCACTGAATGACCTACAGGTGCTTTGGCAGCTCCTTTATCCTGCTCCTCCTTGCCCAGCAGAATGTTGTATTTCTTCCTTAATGTGGCCCTTGGCCAGCATGAGTGGAGGTTTTCGGCACATCATGGAATATTGAACCTCGTGTGTGATTATGTAGAAATAAAAGTTAATGAGGAAAGACTTCTGCTCTAATACCCAGCAAAGTGTGGGGCTAATTCTCTACCTTTTTCCCTCTTCTTTGTGGCCTTATATTGATTTTTGTTTTTTAAAGCTTTCCACTCTGTAATGAGCTCCAGCTGTCTGTTTTGGGGAAATAGTTTGAGGTACAATATAATCTCTGCTGGCAGAGTCACCAAATGGCAGATTGGTGTGAAGAGGAGGACTGAGTAGAAAACACTGGCAGAATTTTGCAAAAATGTGATAGAAAAGAGGAAAAAGTGAGGCTGGATGGAGTCAAGTGACCAGCTGGAGCTTTAAGTCATTTTTTTCCAAGCTTCAGCCCCAACTCGTGCTCTTTCCCAGCTTGCCAAGATAGCTCCCTTTCTTTTTAAATCACTGATTAATCATGACCCAGGCCCTTCAACACTGAATTTGGTTCAAGAATGTTGCAAGAATGTTGGGATTCTTTTCCCCACTACTCCTTGATATTGATTGATATCCCTTTTAAGATTCATGTGTAAAAGGGCCTTTAGGGTTTTTGATCTCTCTTCCTTCCTCCCCACCTTTTTTTTTTTTCTCTCCATCATGAAGAATCCTGGTGTGTGTTCTTGATCCCATGACATCAGGAGCCAAGACTTCCAATTTTACAGGATAATTGGGACTCCCGATGCTTCCAGTATTGCTTCTTGTGAGCATTTTGCTACTGTTTTTATATACAACGTGGTCGTAATATGGGAAAATCTTAGCAGGGTTTACAGCTGCTAAGGTAGGTGTTGCGGCAGAGAAAGCAGCTCTAACACCAGTTAAATTTTATTTCCAGGTGATGGAATATGAGAACAGGATCAGAGCCTACTCCACGCCAGACAAAATCTTCAGATACTTTGCAACTTTGAAAGTAATAAATGAGCACGGCGAGTCAGAGGTTTTCATGACGCCGCAGGATTTTGTGCGATCGATCACCCCTAATGAAAAACAACCCGAACGTAAGTGAAGCGTGCCGGGAGTAATTGCAGCAAACGGCAAGAAAGCTGGCTCTGCTTTTTTTGCTCTTTGCAAGCAAGTGCAGTGCTGAGCACGAAAGGCAGCTTTGCAAGCTGCTAAGCATGAGTTTTGTTCTCAACCTGTGCTTTGCAGCACCGGGACAACGTGGAAACGGGTGATTTGTCACCGGGTGACTCACAGCAGTGCAGTGCTGCCAAATAGTGGCTGTATCTCATACCCCCCAGTGTCTTGCCTCTGTGACTGCTGCAAATCCCCAGAAATTTGGGATGAAACGTGGCAGTTTTGGTACTGCTGGTTGGCAGGAGGATTTTGTATGTGTTCTGCTTGGGAGGAGGTTCGTCATTGGGGTGAGATGTGGGGAAATGGGGTCTTGTAGTCTCAGACTCCAAGAATGAAACAGATTTCTGTCAAAACTTATCTTTTCAAGCATTGAAGAGCCTCACCTCCCAAATCTTACATTTTAAGAGTGTTTTTTGTATAAACTGAAACTGTTGTGATGTTCTGTTTGACAGCTGCTAAATAAATACTGTGTGCACTTGTACTGGCAAAACAACAATATGAAGTACATACAGGGGGAAGGAAAAACAATCCTGTTGAAAACGTGTGCTAAAACATGCTTGTGAATCAATGACATTTTTGATCTAATCCAGAAAATAGCTCTTAAAAAAAAAAAAAAAAAACTTGTGTGTTTTCATCTCCAGTGCTGGAATATTTTGAGCACCAAACAGAAGATAACGTGAACAAACTATTTCAGCACCATTATCTGAAATATCTGAAGCACCTTAGTTAGTATTTTGAAAAGCAGTAGCACCTGGCTGAGTCTGAGTCTTCCTGTGTAAGTTAGCTTTTTGTCAGCCCCCTTAAGACTAGGACATATTTTTTATATTTTAACTGTCAGACATCCGATAGCTTCTTTTTCAGTGCAGTATAAGTGCGTGGCGCACTTAATGCATGCATAGATAATAGGTGGTGAAGGGTAAAGAAAATGTGTGTGTTGGAGATAAGTGAAAATGAAGAGCGTGTCAGTGTTATAAGCCACTAATTTTTTATTGCAACTATTATTTTTCTGACTAAGTGAGCACCTGAAATGGCCCTGAGAAGCCAGCGTGGCCAGGCTGGTCTCCAACCACCATGTGTTACTGGCGCAAATGTGCTTCAAGCCAGTGTGGCAGATCCTGCTTCTTAGGGGTGTTGTAGATAATGACAATCATGATAAATGATGAAGTATGTAAATGAGGATTAGAAGACTAGTGAACTTGATACTATGATAGAACTCTACCAGTGACAACCTTGTTCCTAAATATTTTTAAAATGGAGAGCAATGGGAGATATGGATGAATTTGAACCAGAAGTTGCAGCATGACTAAGTTTGCTACCTGCTGCCTGGTTTATTGTTTTTATATCTTGCCCTAATTTAGCTTGCTTAACTCATGACAATCTAGATCCTGAGCTGTGTCTGGTCCCCTCTGTTGACGTGCAGGGAGCTTGTGCTCAAGGTGCCAGGTGGAAACGTCCCTAACATCTCGCTAATGTTTGTGCCACTTGATGGAGAGCAAAACACTGCAGAATATAAAATCATGAAGAGAGTAACAGAGTGTCAGAATCCCTTATTTTTAACTTGCTAATTTATTGTGAAGTATGTTATGCCTGAATAATTTTTAAAGATTATATAGGGGAATGAGAACTTGATTTATTGTCAATAAAATAGCAATTTATTTTTAAGCTCCTGTTTGCTGCTCGTTTGAGGAGAACGAGTGCCAACTCATCAGCTCTTGCAGATTGCTTTCTCAAAACACTGCACTGAAACCTTCTGCCATAGCCTGACTTCACTTTTCAAGCAAACAAGTGGGCAAGGAGGGCTCGAGAGGGCACATCCTTGCTCAGCATGGACATATCTGTCAGAATAACTCACATAAGTACAGTTTAACTTGGAAACTGCCAAAAAAAAAATGTATTTCATTATACACTCCCTGGAAAGTCCAGGTGCCATCAGAAACGTGGGCAGTGCTACCTGCTCCCTGCAACCTTGTGCCGTTTCTCCTCCCACTGCCTCTTGGACGAGGCTATGTGGGCAGGAGCAGTTTGTTCATCCCTGCTGTTTGCTTGAGCCAACGTGGTCATAAGAAACACTGAAAGTCTGTGGTGGAGACTAAGGGTTTGAAAAGAAAATAGCATTTTGTGGGTATTTTTTAAACATATTATGGGTTCTTGCTGAAAAAGTTCAGGCTGTGACATACCACAGGTATCGTAATTGCTGGGGTATTTTTAATTTGCCTTTTCCTTCCCAAGGCCATTGCTGGCATGTTTAAAACAGTCTTAAAGCTGTTAACAAGTATGAAAATCTTAGAGATTAAATAGTTGCTTCTCCAAAGGTAGAGCCTGAATTACAGCACTGGCTGGGTAACCTCAGTGCTGTGGTGCAGTATGTGTGGTTAGCAGTCTTGCCTGCAGTGCTGGGGATCAATCCTTTAGCACATCTGTGTGCAAGAAAGAAGTCTGTGTGGTCTATGAACCACGTGGGGAGGAAAAATGAGGAAAAGTTACCCAAGTAACATGAAAAATCCGAGGTTCTAACATCTGAAGGGAGCTGAGAACATCATTCTATCTCAGTGGGGAACTGTTGACATCTGGAAGAGATCATTACATAGTCTCCTTGATCTCAACTGCTTTCTTTATATAACATAATGATTCTCCTAAAAACTTGCTTGTTAAATATTTCCCAAACTGCAAGGTGAGATTAATTTGCTCCCCATGGCTTTGTTTTCTGGGATAGCTGAAAAAGTTTAATGATTGTTTAGATATTTACCCAGTGTAGTAATTAACTGAGTGGCCCTGTGGCATGTGCATTTTCGTTAATCAATACAATTACCTTTAGATTTTAAGCGGAGCTGAACGAGAGCAGCAGCTAGTTGTTCTTGCTTTGTGTTTTTCTTTTCCCTTACCTAAGTATTTTCTTGTGCATGGAATATCCTTCCTCTCCCCAAACGAAGGGAGTAAACACAGAGCATGGATTTCTTCTTTGACACCTCCCAGCATGGCAGGCAGTGAGTATTAAGTCACTTGGGTTTATTTTAAAACACTCTTTGGCACTGCTGTAAAAGCACCTTTCTATAAAGAAGAATTTGGTGGCCTCTGTTGTTAGTAATTTGTGATTGAGCAGTGTCAGTCTTATCCCAAATAACGCCTAGCTGCAGTGCCACATCTTCCATAGCTCCTCTGCTCCGTTTTTTTCCCCTACATTCAGAAAAATGTAGTTTACAGAGAATATAATAACCTTACTTCCTGTGTGGTTTTGGGTTCAATTACCTTGATTCTCTTTGCTGTTTTGCAGCTCTCCTGCCCACGTAAGTGCTCAATTCCTGTTGTAAAAATCTGTGAGGAAAACCCTTTCTTTTGAAAATAATGCAAAGCAATAAAACCACAAGAATTGGGCAACAATCCCCCTTTTTGTTGTTGTTTTTATCCTTTTGTCACATTTTAACATTAACGACTCGTAAGAAAAGGCATAGATATGTCCATTTAAAAAAAACATACTGGGAAAAGTGTAAAGTACCGAGTAAAATTCTATACGTCAAGATCGTGTAAATACCCTTTTGACTCAACTTCCACAGGTTTTGAATTAGCTCGTTCTGTTGGGAGAACTTAAGTTTCTCAACAGAAATTAATGTTTCTGCAGTTGAAGGTAACGATAAACACCGGTCTGTGGCAACTGCTGTGGTTGTAAGCAGTTTCTGCAGCAAATGATGAAATGCTGCAAGCTCCTAGGCTTGGGCAGGCCTGACAGCCCAGGCACCATTGCAAAAAGCTGCAGAGCTTCCTGGAGTTGTGGTCTGTGGCTCCCCTGCAGGGAGAATCCTGCCTGGTTACATGCAACAGCATTTGATGGAAAACAGCCACCCAAGAAGCTCCACACTCATGAGGCTGCATTGAACCCCTGCCCAAAGAGAAACTCTGTGCTCAGACCTGCTAATTTTGGCCAATTCCATCTCATCTTTTCTTGCTGCTTGTTGGACTGAGAATCCATTTATTTTGGGTGTTACTCGAAACCTCCTTGTTCTTCTAACACCTGTGTTCAGTTAGATGGGTTTTGCCATTAAGACATTTTTTCAGTTGCTATTTTTAACTCCTCTCCTTTTTTAGCTTCCTAGGAGTATATGTGTAGCATGGGGCTGTCAGGGATATGTCTCACAGGGCTGTTTCCTGGCATGGAAACGCCTGCAGGGCTGGAGACCGGCCTTATTGCAACACATAAACGTGGAAAACAGAGCAGTCTGTCTCTGTGCGGGTGCTCAGGAGTCAGCTCTGGTGGGATAAGGTATATTAAACACATCAAACAAGTTCTTCCTCTAAGCTCATCCTGTGCTTGTGCCCATGACTTTGGGCAGGGGCAAAATTCTTCAGAAGCGAGAAGGCTGACTTGGGAAAATAAGTATAAATACACACCTCCTCACTCGTGTCAGGCATGCACGACATGAAGGGGTTTTCTCACTTCAACATGCACAAATCCAGAAAGCCCTTTGGGAATGGTGATGGAGGAGTCCCTTTGCTTTGGTTCAGAAAGGCCCAGGAGATGTTTTGGCAGCAAGGAGTGATTCCCCTTTCTGCCCCATAACCACCCCAAATCCTTTGAGTGGATGGGAAGAGTTTTCCTTTTTTCCCTGGCAGTTGGATGCAGAACGCAGCTGGAGAGGTGGTGTTTGCTTTTTACATGGCTTTGCTAATTGAGATTGAAATGAGGATGTGATAATTATCATAATCCGTGGTGGAAAATGCATGGCTTGTCACTATCGGGGGGCTTTTTATTCCTCAGAGTCCAAAATTCTCCTATGTGCTCAGAACGGCTCAGTTCTGGTTTATCTCCTTTTGGGCAGCATTGCTCGGGTTTCGTATCACAAAGCACAAATAATTAATCTTTCTGAATATTTCTGTCACCTTGTGTATCTGTGTGTTCATCAGTGCATGTTCAGCCTGCTGGGCACGCCTGGTGAGACTGGGCTTTTGTTTCCTAGCTCTGCAGATGCTTTGGAGAGGGGGGGATAGCTCTTAAAGATAGAAAAATTGCTCTGCGATTGGTATTAGCGATAAAACTTAGCAATATAAATAACCTTCCTCCCTGCCTTGTCCCCAAATGCTTTTCTAGCAGAAGCGCTTGCCACTTTGGGAATGCATCTCCAGCTTTAAAATCTGACTATTTGTAAGCACATTTGTATTAAAAATGTGAGTAAGCTTTTGGGATTTATTGGGAGACTTTCCAGGTAATTCTGGGAGCAAATTCTGGGACCCTTTTGAGACATGTGCTGCCCTAGTCCCTGCTGCAAGGAGTTTTTGTACCTCGTGCTGTGAGTTGGTTGCCTTTCATAAAATGTAACGTACAAAATGGAAGAAGTTCTTCTCTTTTTTTATACATTTTCTAGTGATGTTCCTGTTCAGCCAATACACTTGACTTTCTAATTTCCACTCAAGCAAAAGCACCAGAAAAGGTAACTTTGCCTTCCTGGAAAATCTTTTTTAACCTACCCTTTTTCTTTTCCAGACCTGGGCCTGGACCAGTTTATTGTGAAACGCTACGATGGAAAGGTGAGCGCGTGGGATCCTTGAGCATATATTATTATTCAATAGCTCTTTTCACCTGCAGTCCTTGAGTTTTTAGCTGCACGTGGGTCGAAGTGAAAGGATGTGATCTCCTTGGAGCTTGTGTTCAGCAGCATTGCAGTGTTGCTCTCACGAGAGTCCATGAGAGAGGGCTGTGGGGTTTTTGGTGTGTTTTTATGCTTACTGTTTAGCATCAAAACATCATGTGCCATAATAGTAGTTCCTAGTTTTCTTTATGTGACTTTGAGGCTCATGGTTTATACTTTTCCAGGAGGAAACTTG